CACACACACACACACACACACACACACACACACATCTCAAACTTGCTTTCAATAGCAGGCACTATTCCAATCAAGGTAACGATTAGATTGAGATGACCGAATTTTCCAGAACCTTAGAAATAGAGGCCGACACTGTTTGTCAGGAGGAAATTGATTCTCAATGGAGAAAACTAAATGGGTGTCGATAGCCAGCACTCATTGAGGCCGTTAATATAGAGTTTACTCATATCCTTAGTTCCAAGTGAAGATTTAAAGGGAAAATGACTACTTCACACTTAAACAGAGCGAGATGGAGCAGGAGAGAGTGCTTATGAGGGATTAGGATCCCTTTGAATATCTGACCGCTAAGAATTAGGAGCTCAATTTCTCAATTTTATGACATCAAAAGTGACAAAGTCCCAAAAGACCCGTAGATGGATTTTCTCTCCAAACGCTGAAACTCTGTCACATTCACTAACTGCAAGTTTAAGGGATTTCTGACAGCACCGCTCATGGATGTTTTTACTGCAGATTATTCAAAGTTTGGGGTATTCTAGGGGCTTAAAATAGCGATTCATTAATGAGATAAAACATTTAAAGCAATAGGATTTTCATTATGATTCAAGAACTAAGATCTAAGGCAAGGGCCGTTCACACTGACAGAGACTGTTCTCAGAACAACAAAGAATAAGAAATATACAATAAAGAACTATTACTTATAAATAATTATTTAATTAAAAAATCTATCTATCTATCTATCTATCTATCTATCTATCTATCGAGATTTTTGTTTGCACAAGGAGTGCTCCACACAGAGATCTGATCTCACCATCATCCAGTCCATCTGGAATGACATGAAGAATCACAAAAAGCTGAGACAGACTAAATCCAGAAGAACTGTGGCAATGATGTTTCAAAGAAACCTTCCTGCAAAGCTACAGTGGAAAAGTTTTAGGCACTTGTGTAAAAATGCTGTAAAGCATGGATGCTTTCAAAAATAATGTCATATATAGATTTTATTTATCAATTAACTTCTATTAACTAAATCAAATCAACATTTGGTGTGACCACCCTTTGCATTTTTTTTCCTTGGTACACTTGTGCATAGTTTTTCAGGTAGGTTTCTTGAAGTGTCTTGGAGACATTGTCACAGTTCTTCTGGATTTAGTCTGTCTCAGTTTTTTGTGATTCTTCATGTCATTCCAGATACACTGGATGATGGTGAGATCAGATCTCTGTGTGGAGCACTGGCTGCTGTCAGATTCCTTGTGTATACAAAAATCTCACTGGATTATTTCAATCAATGGCAAAAGGAATGTTTGGAAATGAAACTGATATTTCCTACTGACACACTACAGCAAAATAACTGGCCTAAAACGGATTTTGTGTGTTTTTTTTTGGTGAAAATACTAATGGCCTAATATATAACACACATATTATATATATATTTTTTTTAATGTTTAAAAAATACATAAAATATTTATAAATACATAATTCTAAATACATTTCATTATAATGATTATTATTTTAAAATAAATACTATATAATATATCATATTTATTTCATAATTATGGTTTTTAAATAAACAAATAAAATGTATTTGTTAATGTACTAGCACCGTCAATTAATCGCTGTCAGTCTGAACACACCTTTTTTAAACCTGTATTTGGGGGACTTGACGTTTTATAAGGTCAGTGATTACAGAACAGTATTGGATGTGCCTCTATTGAAAGAAACATATTAACTTTATTAGTTAATACATATATACATTTGATCAAAACAAACACACAAACAGACAGACAGACAAAAGAATATCTATAACAAAGCATGCGGCTAACACCATGTCGTAAAGGTGCTGTGATTAAACAGGGGTCTAAATTCTTTTGATTCTTTTTTGTGTCATGAAGACAAAATGTCTGCAGTTTACTTGTGATCTTGTGAATGTGTGTTGAACCATCTGACCCAGAGCTGGAAAAACATGAAATATGATAAGATAGAAGAAAGAGAAAGACAGACCATGCGAAAATGAGGTGCGTAATGCCCATTGCACCAACAGCACAGATTGCTTGTTCAAGTGACAGGCATGAGAGTCATAATGACACACGGGACGCTGCTGCAGACAGTGACAGGAGAGAATGACGTGACGACCCGGGGCGTTTTGTCTTCTCTGCACGGTGCAAATGTTAGCAGCTCCTGTGACCTGGAGTAAGTGCACTTGACATTTATAAATTTACTTCCTCCCAAGCTAAGTGTGTGCGTCCATTTTAATATATACAAAAACATCCACACTCTGACTGTAATTTCAGTCTTTATAACATCAAGTGTCTTCCAGCTTAGCAATCACTGGGCCTCATTCATGGAACACGAGCAGCATGAATTTCTCTGTAAATTCATCTAAACTAAGAATGGGTTTATAAACATGTTTATGTTTTGTGAATATGCACACATTTCTGGGTGAAAGTTCATTTTGCTATTATTTAATCACCCTCATATTGTTCCAAACCTGTATGCATTTCTTTCTTCCGTAAAACACAAAAAGATGATATTTCGAAGAATGTTGGGGTCCAAACAACGTTGGATTAAAACACACAGGCATTTTTCAAAATATTGTCTTTTATGTTACACAAAAAGAGTCACGAATAAATGTAAAATTCTAGTTGTTAAAAGTTTGGAACTGACACTTGGAAATAATTGATTTGAAAAAATCTGGAATTGGAATCAAAGTTGATTCCAAAAACAAATCTGAAATCAAACAGACCTTTGAGTTACACTTTCCATTCAAAAGTTTGGGGATTGTTTAGTTTTTTTTTTTAATGTTTTGTTTGTTCAACAAGTCAGGATTTATTTGACCAAAAATACAGTAAAACATTAATATTGTGAAATACTATTAAAATCATTCTAATATGCTGATTTGGTGTTCAAGAATAATTTCTTATTATTATCAGTGTCGAAAATGCGTAATTTTTATATGGAAACCGTAATTAATTTAGAAATACAAATAGAAATCAATTGTAACATTACAAATGTCCTTAGTATTATTTTTATTTATAATAAAAGTATCATGAAAAATCTTACTGACCCCAAAATTTTGAACGGCACTGAACACAGATATTATTACAATTTATGAAAAATTTATGCCAGCATGGTTTGCCAAACGATCTACATACAAATTCATTAATTTTGCATGAACTGTACCAATACTGCAATTTACTTAAAGTGGTCATAGGATGCCCATTTTCCACAAGTTGATATGATTCTTTAGGGTCTTAATGAAAAGTCTGTAACATAGTTTGGTTAAAATTTCTCAATGGTAGTGTAAAAAAACAAAAAAAAAAACACTGGGTGGATTTTTATCATTATAGGGTGGTTGTGTACACACACTGCCAACACACATTTCAGTTCAAACAACTTGTAAAAGTGCATGTAGCATCCTATGACCCCTTTAATAGCTCTACAAACATTTTACACAGAAATTCGCGCTGTTCGTGTTTCATGAACAAAGCCCACTGAGCGTATATGATATTCTTCAGTAAATAGTCAGACACATACTAGCTTTATTAATAGTTATGTTGCAAAAATGTCTTTGCAACAAGAGCAGGACACGAACGAGCAAACAAAAAAGGCTTGCATATGCAATAAGCACCAG